AACTTAATGTGCTTGAACAAATAAGATGTTAACATCGTGTGGTTTTGATCTCACTAAGCAGTGGAGCAGCCCATTCTCTTCTTTACTTGACTGCCAACTCACCGTTTTCCCCCTTACTTGAGACCATATATGCATCATCATAGGTCGGTATCCGGTGGTGCACCGATTGCCATAGCTGCGCATCATTTCAAAATCCTAATCTCCAAGACGCAGCATTTGTGAACACTTGGTCTATTTTTCAGTTACTGCCCTGTTATTTACTTTGCCTGTCAAAAAGACTTCGCACTTTTCGAACTAACAAATGCTAATGGCAGGGATCCGTTTGAGAATGGAGGTCTCCCAGCATCATGAATTCATTCGTGATCATTTTGCCTCACTTCACTGAGTGGACTGATCCTGAGCATCGGAGAGGTAGGACTACCCTTTTGAAATGATGTGATGGTCTATGCTTCCGTCTGTGCGACACGACTACCTTTACAATTGCCAAACTTAGACTAGCGAGCTAGTTTGATGATCAGTCGAAACATTTAGCACAAAGCGTAACACCAGTGCGGTAGACCTACGAAAACACCCCACACAGGTTTACTTTTTTATGAATGGACGTATCTTCCACTCCCAATTTCAAGCCTGAAGGACCGATTTCTTTTGCTTACACACCTGGTTCGACTGGCCATGACGGTAGCAGCCTCACCTTGTTCCGTAAACTCCAGTTTGCTCTAATGCGACGTGCATCGGAGGTCGATAACTATAGTTTGCTTACGCCAATGGAAGCAGCTGAAAACTATTGAGTCTGCCGGTCGCCGAACAGTTGACGATTCTGTCTTGCAACTCAGAACTTCTCGGCTGGAATCTGTATAGATGCGGGCGACGTCGTAGTATCCTTAGGCCGCACTCGGCTGGTAGTGATCCCGCGGCAGCGCTCCTTCGGTACGACACAACGACCTTCTGCGGATGTGCTTCATTCATTCTTCTTTCCGTGCGGTTTGACTTCCATGTACTTTAGCTGAATTCTGTGATTAGGATCTTTGGCTTGATGTTGGTTAGCATGCGTATGGCTATCGCTGTCTCATGATTCTCTACCCACCTCGTTAGGCAACAGTCAAGTACAAGCTTAACTTGCAACTGGCACACGCTTGGTCATCCACCTTTTTTGCCATCGATGTACTTATATTTCCTTTGTACTCTTAACTAAATATTTATCGATTTCGCAAAAGACTGTGTTCATAAAGAGTGTGGGTCAGTATTTACACAATATGCACTATCGTACTTGTGGACATTCGCAAAAACAGGTTTAGCTGCAAACTATTATATTTCATGTCGTAGACATCCGAGGGATTGACTAATCATCATTCGGCATTTCTCGACGCTTCAGCCTCCGGTTTGCAAGTCTATTAGGGTCAGGATGGCACATTCAACTAATGGGAGAGGTTTGTGTCATGTGGTTTAGTGATCGATGCCATATTGTAGTGGCGCGGAAGGCAGCGGTCACGCAGCAGACTGAAAAGTCTCTAGAACGAGCCTGAACCGAAACGGCTGCAAACATCATGGACGAGATCGGAGGGCGGAAATCCAACCCAACAATACGAGCGGAGAGCGGAACGCGAGCAACAGACGGGAACTTGCCTGAGCCAAAGAGTACGGCAAAGGTATGTGTCGATAGGCCAATACATCAGACAGAAACACTTTATCGGTGCCTCCGGGAGTAACCCCAGGCCGTATAACGCAACCGAGATCAAGCAGATCAAGAGACTTGGAACAAGTTCAGGCTGATCAGGATGCCAGCTACGGAAGCAAAGCTACGGGGTCAGACAGGCAGCCAGGGCCCCCAAATATGCAGGCCTATGAGGCACGAGCGTGATATGTTGTGGTTCCCCATGTATGTTGTGTTGTGGAAAGGGAATGGTCGATAAATGCGCACGTGCGCAGGCCTTCAACCACGTAAAGTCTTGCGTAGCAAAGGATCCAGCATGTTTACGCATTCCCCATCCGAGTGAGCAGTTCACTGTGGCGGTCGACTCGAGTAAAGTTACATTTGGTGCGGTTCTGTCCCAACCGGCTGGAGTGATAGAATATGCCAGTAGAGTGCTAACAAACGCAGAGCAAAAGTATTCTACGACCGAGAAGGAATGTGTTGCTTTCGTGTGAGCTTTGGTGAAGTGGAGAACGTACTTCAGCGAATTAGTTCCAAGTCATTAATGATCACAGACTGCTATCATGGCTGCTGACGACAGAAGACCCGAGGAGGCGTCTGGTACGATAGGCCCTCCGGCACATCGACGGAACGAAGAACGTACTACTAGACATGCTGTCTCGCCCGGATTTGGACGAACTCTTGCCAGACAATACTATACCAGTGTTTACTGTTACAGTGGAGGATAGGGCCCTCCTGGAAAGGCCGAGGACGGATGAATTGGTCAAGTTAGTGTGTACTCATTTACAATCGGGAACCAAGCCGGAAGCAATATCAGGAGAACTGAAGGAACTCCTCCAGTTCTAGGACAGGCTTCACGTCACAACCAGTAATTTGTAGGTGACAACGAACGGGACGAAACTACTGTTTATTCCAGAAAACCAATGAGCACGGGTGATTCACTTAGCCCTTGCTAATGTCTATGTGTTTTGAGAGAGTTTTTGGACTGCTACAGAGCAGATTGTTTTGGCCATCCATGAGAATGGACGTCGCTGCATACATTCGGAGTTGCCCATGCTGCGAGAAGGATGCACCGCGACAACCAATGCGATCTATTGAAGTCAACGAACCGTTGCATTGTTGGGGATTGCACCTCTTTGGCTCTCTACCGTTGAGTCGCTCAGGAAACAATTGCATTCTAGTGATGATTGACCACTCCACGCGATGGATTGAAGCCGTGCCGATCAAACATCAAACAGGCGAAACCTTGTCACAGGTTTTCGAATTCACCATGCCAACAAGGTGCGGAATACCAAACTACGTCATTACGGACCAAGGACCTTGCTTTGAATCGGACGTGTTCCAAGTGATGTTGACTAAGTGGGGTATCCAGAGACTACGTACTTCAGCTTACCACCCGCAAACCAACGGAATAACTGAGCGGTTTAATAAAACCATTAAGTCATGGATAAACTGCATGAAACTGGCTTGTGAGAGAGCGTTACCGGAAATTCTACTCACCAAAATTTCTCCATTTCAATTACAGTTCATTAGAGAACCTACAGTTGCACTCGGCACCTGCTCAACGTATGATTGTGAGTGGGAACATCCGACAGCGCATCCCGAGATATTGGAAACAACTGCCAGAAGAGGAACCAAATCTTGACAGTTACGAACTAAGCAGAATTGTGCTGTCAGGTAAGCAGCGCAAAAGTGGAGACCGTTCAGTAAAGGGGAAGAAGTCAAGGTACAAAACACAGGGGACTCGGTGTGAGCAAGTTCAAGGAACGTACACCGTAATTGGTCAAAAGGGAATGCACTTCAAAATTGTCACTGGGACGGCGAAACGCTGGGTGAATGCACCTCTATTACGGCCAGGGTATCCGAGGGAAAAGCCACTTCGAGCAGGGGCTGATGTAGTGGCGCGGAAGACAGCGATCACGCAGACTGAAAAACCACTAGAACGTGCGAGGACCGAAACGATCACAGATAACATGGACGGGATCGGACGGCGGAACACGAGCAAGGGACGGGAACATGCGTGAGCCAAAGAGTACGGCAAAGGGATGTGTCGATAGGCCAATACATCAGACAGAAACACTTTGTCAGTGCCTCCAGGAGTAACCTCAGGCTGTATAACGCAACCGAGATCAAGCCGATCAAGAGACTTAGAACAAGTTCAGACTGATCAGAATGCGAGCTACGGGGTCAGACAGGCAGCCAGGGCCCCCAAAGATGTAGACCTACGAGGCATGCACGTGATATTTTGTGATTCCCCATGTATGTTGTGTTGTGGAAAGGAAATAGTCGATAAATGCGCGCGTGCGCGTGCGCATGTGGAAACCGTGGTTGCATGCAATATCGATTGTGCTTTCTTGCCGCTTCGTTCTTGATACAATATTTTTGGTCAGGATTAGAAGGTTTTTCCGCCCCCTTCTGTCTCTTCTTCTACAACTGAGGACCACCTTGTACGCCTCATTGGATGCGGGTGAGAGTGTTGATCAGGATGTAAAAACAGATTCCTATTATAACGTAACATAGACTATGCGGTTGGACCAAACCATTTAACTGAATGAAGTGCTAATTTGCTGCCTGATTACTATTTAGGAGATAAAAACGAAGGAGGCTGAGGAATCCACTTACTCTTGATTTTTCGTTGCTATTGCCGACGTGCGGTTTATGCAAACGAGTAAAATCAACCGTAACAAGGATATCTGAGAGAATCGGTTTGCTTCGCCTTTTCCAGTTTGAGAGCTGCGACGTATGCTTAGTTGCGTAAAAGAGTAAATTTCCTATGCAAGTGAATGGAGGAAAGGACGAAGTTAACTGAAGATTACACCGCTTTTATTCTGACTCTCTTTTATGCCGACATTAAGAAAAATGGGAGGACGAAAAGTGGTCGAAGATTAAGTGTGCATATGGTTTTCATGACTACACGCTTAGTCTTTGAGAACAGTATCATGGCTTTCAGGTATCTTAGTTCACGTGTTATCACAGTTTCAGTGTGCTTCATCAGGTCACAGGAGATGCTTCTTCTTAACTATATTGTATGGTTCTAGCCCTCTGACTGAGGCAACATGCATGATCAATACTGCACGATCTTTCTCTGTTGCGGCTGTTTGCCGAACGCCTGAACGCGGTAACCTTCCCATACTCTTGTGTATATCCACCATCGAGAGTAAACATCTAATTGACTGTATTCGACCTCGGTGCTGATGCTTTCTTTCCGTTTTTGTAAGCAAAACTTTATTCTTTGTTTCATTACTACTTCTTGTCTCCAGTTACCCTGCACACCAGTTTTGTGCTTTTTTGCACATAACATTTGATTCACATGGGACTTTTCAATCTTTTTCTCCTTTTTTCCACACAGTCACTTTACCACAACGAGGGCACCCTTACCTTGGTGGTCAACCAGTCTTCCGGTTGTCAAATCCTCTGCAGCATGCAATTCACATTGCGGTTGTGATTCAAACTTCTGGTCTCCTGTTTGTGATGATGTCCTTGAGATCACTTTCATCTCACCATGTTTCGCCGGCTGCACTAATGTATCTGTTAATCCGGTAAGTTTACGTCTACTGCTAAGTGAACACAGCAGCAGCACGTTAGCTGTTTGCACTGCTTACTCCTGCACGGAAATTCGCTACAAGGGGCAACTCTAGATATATGAAATGTGCAATTGAGTGGATGTTACTTTACGACCCAAATGCATTAAGCAGATGTCAATGGTCAAAGTTTCTTACTTTCTTAGCGAACGCCATAAGGTCACAAACGTCTGATTGTCATATGTAAACAGGGTGACATCGATGAGGCGACATTCACGTGGCCTCCGTTCCCCGTTCCGTAACCTGCACCTACTTGAACTCATTTCGGAGTGGTTGTCCAGCTATGAAACACCATCATACACGCGGATGGCGTTGGTTACTTACCACATCCTAAACTGTCTCGGCTCAAGCCTACAATATGTGGAGTGAGCTCTAATTGAGCAGATGAGGAAGGTCAGCGGTTTCATTTCCTGCTGCATATCGACCTCACGTAGTTCCACGACAGTGCGGAATTGCACCGCAATGATTACATTTACCATGCTTTCTTTGGATTAACTAGTAAACAGGACAAACCTCTTCGGAGTGTTTCACCTGCCCGAACCCAAAAGACTTGCTCTGATGGGTTTATTTAACAGACTAGTCAGACCATAATCACTCCATCCGACTGTGATGTTCCGCAAACAACAGTTCTCAATGATCAAAGTGTACCCGGGATCCTCGGAACGAGCCCATTTGGTCTAATTATCTTAGAGTAGGCTGCCCCCCATTGTGGTCCTTCATACACTTCCTTTGCGCCCGACGAAAATCCCCGATTAGCACCATAATCAGCTCTAGCTACTAAGGGTTTTTTTACCCTTCATAATAGGCACTCACATTCGTCATTGTTAGTGCAACTACATTGGTGCCATTAAACATGAACACTGAATACTGAAAAAGTACAGCAAGTAGAGATGTCTCGGTGTTGCTACAACTAATATTTTTCAAGCAAATCTACCTATTATGTTGGTGATTACTCTCGAAATCTCACATCGGTAAAGTGCAAGTCCAAGAGTTTCTTGAATTACAGAACTGACTTTCCTTGGACTATGGCTACAGGCAGCTTGTTCCAAATATTCACCATCCTCAGCTCGAAGCTGAGTTGGTGAGTGATACGCTTCAAATTCGGTACAACAAGCTTGTACCGGTGTCCTTGTGTGCTGCTTCGTTTGCGCAGATGAAGCAGTTGTCTCAAGCTGGAGTAGTCATTCAGATGTAATCTCCGATGCGTCACGATGTGGTCAACTCGCATTCGATGATAAGACAGGGTGTACAACCCTAGTCTGTTGCACCGGTCTTCATATGAGCCGTTTGGCCGCAAGGTGTGTACGCTCAATCCTTTGCACCTCGCCCCGGGTGAGCGCACAGTAAGCGGGTGAGCTGTACTCTAGCATGGGTCTGATGATATAAAAGAAGAGACGAGCGGCAACCACCTCGGACCAAGTGCAAAAGCTGCATTTGAGCACTCGGAGCATGCACAGTCGATTTTGGGATAGCCTGTTAGTGTTTTCAACGGATTTCAACTCGCAGCGTGAGAGTATGCCGAGATCTTTCACGGATGGCGATGGGTGTAACTGTTGGCCGGCCAGATTGTAGACTCGGCCATTACCACCCCCATACCCAGGCTCATGAAGACCGACTTGACCGGATTGATCGGGAGGTTGACCTCTGCTGACCGCATTGAGAGGTGGTCAAGGTCACGCTGAAACAGGTCGCAGTTGTCAGACGTCTCAGTTACCCTCTATACCTTAAGGGCATCTGCAAACAACGCGCAAGATGAGCTGAGAAGCGAATCAGGAACAAAATGGGCCCAATGACTGTGCTCTTCGGGACGTCACTGGTCGAGGGATACCATTCGGTCAAGTGGTTGTCCACCTGCACTCTCCCCGTCCGACCAATAATTAAGTCACTGGTACCTCATCATCATCATCATTATACATGTCAGCTAGAGGTGGTAAAACACCTCCGCTATTGTACCGCAATACATAAAGGGAACGAAAGTCACTGGTACAGGGGGGCCACCAACACCGCGCATTTTCATCTTCCGAAGAATGATCTCATGATACACCTTATCATAAGCTTTACTTTTTATCCCACCTATGCCCCTATACTCCCCCTTAATCTTGATGTGACTTGAAGCTATCGAGTGGGAAGTGTTAGCTACAATCCGCTTGGGAAAGTTTAGCAACTCACGGACCATTAGGTGAACTTACCGAAGCTGATACGCGACACATTTTAAAAGGTATAACGTTAAGCAGCATACAAACCTCAATGATTTCCAATCAATATAGAGTCGAAACGGACCCGCACGGGATACGCATGCAAGCGAAAGTCTAGATGCAGTTGGCTGGGCGTAGTCACGAGTAGCAGCGGCCCTGGATAGCTCCGTCATTAGTATTGTTGTTGGAACGTGCGTTTGGCGCGAAGACAAACGCGCAATGACGACTTCTTTGAAATCAAGACAGCTGGCGTTAGTAAGGACAGGAGAAACCCAATTGATAAACAGTGGAGGATTAACACGACATGGGAACATAGTAAATGTAGCTAAGCGAAGGGATGGGTCTTTTCCATCAGGTAACAGGAGATAAGGTTCGATTGGGTGACGACGGGGAGTAGGTCATGATTATGACCCAAATCGGGTGGCAGTGGGAAGCAGGCAATAAATGCAGTCCAGCCGGTGCGTCGATGGTAAGAAGGCGACCAGGAGACGAAGTGAAATATATGCCATGTTTCTATACCTCATGAGAGCACCCATCCGGGCAAGTATATCGAACAGAGAATAGCAATCTACTGACTGCAGCGTACTCTTGGGATCGAGAGACGCAGCTACACTGATGATGTTGTGGCACCTACCGGAAATCCATTTCTTCACATAAACACGTATTCCTACTGATTATGTTACAAGCACAGCACACATCGCTTGTGACCTCCACACTCAAAATTCTGGATTCCGTCCATACCTGCTGGAATTTGCGTTGTTTTATCGATGTGCCTCTGCAGTCGCTTTTAGGTGCAGCGGAACGTACTTCGCCACCTCTTGCTGGATGAATTGCAGATTACAGTGAACCACCTGTTCAACATCTTAACCTGGTTCGTAGTTCCTTAGAATAATGTGCATTGGTCATCATCAAGCGTTAGAACAACATCATTCCAGGATCGTTTTTTGAGCCAGCAGACCGTCTTCGTTTCACTTAACTGCATCTGATTATGGCGGCTGCTGTCCCTAACTGATATGTTGGGAAATTGTTATTCTGCCCTGAAATCTCCCTCGCTACTCTCGCGGCTATGCATGGATCTGCGGAAAGCTGTATTCAGTGTGAGAATGTCACGAATGATTCTCCTACGCTCCATCTTCTTTCTGCTGTCTTCCATGGTGACTTCTTGATAGGTTGCATCGTTTGCCAGCGGATTTTCGTGACAATCTAGTCAGGAAATCAGCGTCTCCTTGGCAGTCTGTTTCATGTTTGTGGTTATTACGCCTTCCACCCCACTATTTCGCTTTCGCGTCTTGGACATTTTATCATTGAATTACATTTACAACTTTACTCGGGCAACCAAACCTACCCAACATTTACCATGGTACCTAGCGGTTCACCGTGTCAAAAGCCTTGGTGAAGTCAACAAACAATGGGTACCATGGCTAGTGTCGCTCTCAGTATTTCTCCTTTCGTGTCCTTTCGTGCTTAGCTCCGAACTGAATCCCCATTGCTCTTCCTCCTTGTTTCTATCGAGGACCTGGGTGACGAGGCGGTTGAAGCAGGATTCGAGTGATCATCTTCCATACACAGCTTAACAAGTTGATACCGCGGCAGTTCGTGGTACATTGTCCTAATAGGGATTGGACAAGAGCTGTAGTTTCGCGCATGCGCCATGGGTGGGGAAATCTGTAACTGGGTGGGTGGTCGGGTGTTACCTACGCGTTGCAAGTAGTCCCACTTGTCGACAAACAGTTGGAGCTTGTGGATCGTGAAAGTAATGGATCCCTGTACGAGTACCGTGTCTTGAAAAGTATGCTACGTTCCATCGAGCAGCGTTACGCAATCAAATTTTGCATCAAACTGAACATCTGGGACAGAGACTTTGGAAATGCTGAATACGGTATACGACAATAAGTTCAAGTGTCACAGAGCCTTCAAGGAGGGGAGAAGAGACGTTGAGGACAAGGGATCTGTAGGTCAATCTTCCACCAATAAAACAACGACAAACGTGAACCGTGTGTGGAGCACTTTAACAGTGATCGCCAAAAGTGTATGTGATTAATCGCGAAGGAACTAAACTGGCCCAGAACGCAAGTTTTCAAAATTTTGACGCCTTTGTCGACGAGTCCATCACATCCGTTCTGAGGTTGCCACAATCTGGATCCTCCACCATGACAACGCGTCGGGTCACATCTCTTTGGCGCCCAGGGAGTTTCTGCCCAATAAAAAATTCCATCTTTGCCACAACTTGCGTAAAACCCAGAGCTGTCTACGTGCAATATATTTCTGTTCCTCCGGCTGAAGAGGGTCGTGAAAAGACGTCATTTTCAGACTGTTCGAGTCATTCATGACGCCACAAAATAGTACCTTCGCAGCATCCCAGAGAAGTTCCACGGGGTGTAAGAACAAAGGAAATAATGTTAGCAAGCGGTGTTACTTCACATTCATCCTACTTTGAAGCTTCTTACTTGCAAGCCAACTTCTCTCTAATAAATTTCCTTGCCAGTATCAGCCCAATTAATTTCAGGAAAGAAACATTTGCAGTGGTAACACATGGACATCATTCAAGTCAGCCGGCACTTTCTCTTCAAGCTATACGCGTTGCACCAAGTGGTGTTTTTCCAACGCTTCTGGAGTTATTTCATCGGAACCGGCGCACTTTCCTTTTCCTAGCTGAGCAGCTGATTACTTCATCTCAAGCACTGTCGGTGTGTCCGCAAGACACATCTTGCGGTTAAATCCCGTGCAGCGTACCCCAGTCAACCTCAAGGGTTGTTCAAGAGA